CTAAACACACGAATATATGGAGGGATAAAGATATATAGAGGTGGAGATATAGAGAGATAGAGAGATACAGAGTTAGAAAGATGGATATTTAAAGAGATAGAAATGTTGAGAGATAGATAAGAGATAGAGAGATAGAGATATAAAGAGACAGCCGATAGGAGACAAAGAGACAGGAGATAGAGGATGTTCCAGATAGGAGAGAGGAGACAGCTTACATGCAGACGAATAGCAGATAACTCATAGCATACAGCAGATAGGATATCTAAATGATAGACATATATATATATATATATATATATATATATNATATATATATATATATATATATATATATATTATACCCTGTGTCTATGTGTCTGTGTGTATGTGTTGTTTAGGAGCGGGGGCAAGGGTTTTGCGTTTACGTTTGCTTTGTCTCTGGCGAATTTCTGCGGGAAGCCTTTTAAGGCTGTTCAGATGGAGTTGACGCAGCCATCTGTCTCCACGAAAAAAGATAAATTAATAGCAGCAACAAAAGGATTAGCAATAGGTACAGCATCAGGACTAGGGTCTCTTTGTTTCGGTGTCCCCTCATCACTTCTATTACTTCTCTCATCTTCTTGTGTTGGAGCACTCAACCAAATTCAAGCTGTTCCTATGCTAGAATCCGTAAGCTCACACTACTGCTGCTGCTGCTGCTGCTGCTCCTGCTGCTGCTGCTCCTATTGGTGCTATTGCTGATGCTGGTGCTGCCATTGCTGCTGCTCCTGCAGCTGCTGTTGGTGTTGCTGTTGCTTCGGGTGCTGCGGCTCCGGTTGCTGCTGCTCAGCATGCGGTTTCTGCAGTGGGTATTACTTCTGTTGCTGCTGCTCACTGCCAATACTGATGCTGCTGCTGCTGCTGCTTCTGCTGCTGCTTCTGCTGTTGCTCTCTCTGTGGGCTCTAGCGTTCTCGTCTGTTTTGCTGCTGAGTAGGATTTGGGGTGTACGTACATCCATCCTGCTGGTATAAGGAATCTACCACGTGTATCTCCGCATGCAAATCTCTGCATGCATCATCATACATATATATATATATATATATATATACATATATATATATATATATATATACATGGGTGTTTATGATATGTTTTAGGTCCGTCCGCGTCGTGTATTTTGTATTGGTAGTTGGCGGCCTGAGAGTTACAGCTTTCCCTTGGCTTTGACTCAGAGTTCAGTTCCTCGGTCTCCTCGTTCTCCTCCTGCTCAGTTATTATTAACGATTCCGGTGTATAGACAGCGGGATGAAGAGGAGACAGGGGCCCCCTCATGGGTATCAGCAGGGGGCCCCCTGTTGCAGTTACAGCAGCAACCGCATATGCAAAGAAACGGGCACCAGGAGAGACCCCACAAGAAAAGGAGACTCCAACTCTGTCTTGCTGTCGGGCTGAGAAAGCTGGGGCTGCTAGAGGGGAGACACGTGATATGGAGTTGTTATAGAGGAGAAGTAGCTGAGCTGCGTGTTGTAAAGGAATACAGCAGCAGCAGCAACAACAGCAGCAGCAACAACAACAATACCAGCAGCAACACCAATCACCACTGCAACTTCTTCTTACGCGTGCTACACTTCAGAGCCAAAGGCAGCAGACCGCCACCTGATGATGGGCTCGCAAGACAAACAAGAGAAGGACTCAAACAAAGAGCAGAACTCGTCAGCTGCTGCTGCTGCTGCTGCTGCTTATCTTTCTGCTGCTGTTGATCCGCTGCTTATGCTGCTGCTCATGTGCTGCTGATGCTGCTGCTGATGCTCCGCTGAACTTGCTGATGCCGGTGCTTGCCTTCCGCGTGATGCTCTTGATGATCCTGCTGCTGCTGCTGATGCTGCTGCTTATAGTCTTGCTGCTGTTGCTGCGCCTGTTGCTGAGATTCCGCCTGCCTTTTTGCTCCTGCGGCTGCGGCTGCTCTCCCGTCTGCTGGTGGTGCTTCTCTTCTCGCTGCGGCTGCTGCTGCCGCTGCTGCTGTTGCATGCGTTAGTAAGCTGTGCTCGTGCTTTTGCTTCATCAGGGGGACGCGCAGGTGCAGACAGCCGCTTCAGCCAGCTCTATATCAAGCACGAGCTACCGCAGCAGCACCAGCAGCAGCAGCAGCAGCACCAGTAGCAGCAGCAGCAGCTACACAGACGAGGAAGGTGAAGAGGAGCTTGACGATGAATTCTCTGAGAGCAGCTCCTCTGCTATCTCTGCTGCATTTGACGGCCCCCTTTCAGCAGACCGGAAAGGAACAGCAGCTGCAGCAGCAGCAGCACCACCACCGCCGCCACCTCCACCTGCAGGAGCAGCAGCAGCAGCAGCAGCAGCAGCAGCAAGAAAAACAGCAAAGCCTAACCAGGTAGATCCTCCACAGACAATCAAGACCAGCTCCTCTGGGCCCGGGCGAAACATATCAGCGCTGGCCGCCTTCCTTAAGGGCTCACGCCTCCCCACTTCCTCCCTCAACAAGCAGCAGCAGCAGCAGCAGCAGCAGCAGCAAGGGGTTTCATCGGCTGGCGATCCCACACTGCAGGAAGGGGGGGAACCTGATCAGCTGCAGCATCCGCAGCAGCAGCAGCAGCAGCAGCAGCAGCAGAGGGGCCCTTGGCAAGTGTTAAGGAAGACGAAGGTAGGGGGCTGGTTGCTGGGCCGTGACGACAGAGCTGAGACAGATTTATTTGAGCAGATATTTGTCTCCCGCTGGATCGCGTTCCCATCGGAGACTGCAGCGCTGCAGGCTTTTGATGTGTTAGCACAGCTCTTAGATAACCCCCCCGGCCAGGGGCTTGCAGAGGCAACTCTCTCTCCCCTTGCTTAAACAACAAACGAATCAACTCAACACCTGTACAGACACTCCGCAGCTAGACAGAACTATATGGCTAGCTGATACCCTACACGCAACTTACGTCCCTAAACTCCTCCCCCGTTTACCCTGCCAGCTAGCTAGCTAGCCAGCTATATATGGATAGCTAGCTAGCCACCTAGCTAGCTACCTGCATAGCCGCCCACTTCATCAGATGGCTAGCCGGGGCGGGTCGACGATTCAGTGGCAGTGCAGCTCTGTTTGTCAGCATTCTATTTAACGAGACATGGGGGCAGAGCTCCCCTTGGCTAGCTAAATAGCTAGCCAGTTCACAGGCTGCACTGAAGCCAGCTAGCGAGCTAGCTAGCTGGCTAGCTAGCTCGCTAGCTAGGCACTGTGCCTTTGGTTTTAAATGGATGGCATTTTAGCCGTCTTTGAGTTTGTTTGACTGACAGCGAATTTGTTTCGCGTATTGTGATGTCTCTTTTCCCTTGTATTATATTTGAGGGAGTTTGTCTCCCTGCCACTTTATATTGTTCGTCTCTGTCTCTGCAGTTGTCTCTTCGTCTGTCTCCATGCGCCTGCCTCTGTGTCTGTGTCATCGCTGTCTCGCAGCAGCTGTCCCCGTCCTGTCTCTGTCTCTGTCTCGGGTGTCCGTCAGTCCCCTTCTTGGTTCTTGTGTCTGTGTTATGTCTCCTCTTTGTCTTCTTTCTGTCTCCTTTTCTGCCTTCGGGCTCGTTACTGAGAGGCCCGCTTCAGCTGGGGCCCCCCTGCAGAGNTTTCTGTCTCCTTTTCTGCCTTCGGGCTCGTTACTGAGAGGCCCGCTTCAGCTGGGGCCCCTCTGCAGGGCATAGCCAGCTAGCTGTTCTGATTGGAGAATGTATCTCTACTGCTCGTCGAAGCAGACAGTAGAAATGCACAAACAAGCCCGAGCGCACACGCAGATGCATAGCAGCGTCAAGAGGAGAGATATTTAAAGGTGCCTATACACTGCAAAAGGAGACAGACAACACAGAGAGGGGCAGAAAAAGAGGTAGAGAAAGAACAGCGAAGGAGACACAGAGAGAGCTGCAAAGACAAAGGGAGTGACAGAGACAGAAGAGGAGAACAAAACAGAGACAAATCGGGTGATGCGTCCAACTGGTTAAGGAGATAGACTCGAAGCACACCAAACCCTAAACCCTAAACCCTAATCCGTAAAGGGCTTGGGGGGTGACCCTAGTCGGCGGTATGTCCGAGTGGTTAAGGAGGTGGACTCGAAATCCACTGGGCTCTGCCCGCGCAGGTTCGAATCCTGCTGCCGTCGTTTTTCTTTTTTCAGTGTTTATTTATGTTTCTATGTTCGTTTGCTTTTGCTTTCCTTCTGTTTGCTAACGCGCCGGTACATATATATATATATATATATATATATATATATATATATATATACAGAGAGAGAGAGAGAGTAATCGGCAACTATCAATTATACTTAATTACTGATTATTTTGTTGTATTTAATTACGGATTACACTAGTCAAATATATTTAATTACTGGTTACTTGATTATATTTAATTACTGAATATTTAACTATATTTAATTACTGAATATTTAAATATAATCAAATAACAATTAACTAAGAAAGAAGTAAATATATATGGACAATATATATCGGCAAGTAACTATAATTAATTACTGAATATTTAATTATATTTAATTACTGAATATTTAATTATAGTTACTTGCCGATATATATTGTCCATATATATTTACTTCTTTCTTAGTTAATTATATTTAATTACTGATAACTTAATTATTACATATTTACCTACAGATTGTTTGATTCTCCTTAATTTTTACATATTTAATTATACTACTCAGTTGATTGCATTCAATTACTTATTACTTTAGTTCGCAAAAGTCATCAGCAACTAAATATAATTAAATAACATAAGATAAACATATAAATAAAAAAAGATATACAAACTTGTGTGTGCGCAGCTGCTGCTGCACCCGCAAACCTGTCTCTGCACCGATGCCGGTGCTGCAAACAGCAGCAGCAGCTGCTGCTGCTGTTTGCTAGAGCAGCAGCAGCTGCTGCTGCTCTAGAGGTTTTGTTTTATTTCTTTATTACAGCAGCAGCACCTGCTGCCGCTGCTGTTGCATCAGATGCTATACCACCAACTGCAGCTACACTCGCTGCTGCTGCACCCACAGCAGAAACTGCAGCAGCAGCAGCAGCAAGCTTACAGCGTTTGTTCTAATGCTTTTTCTCTTGCTGTTCTTAAGGCCTCTGCTCTGTGAGCGGGTGCAGCAGTCTGCCATATGCTGTGCGGCAGCAGCAGCAGCCGCCACCCCTCCCGCTGCAGGGTTCTGATGACTGCTGCTGTATCTGTCTGTAGCGCTTGCGGGGCCCCCAGCCAGAGGAGGCCCCATTCATCTGTCTCTACTGTCAGTGTTTCTCCTCTTTCAACTGTCTTCCCCGTGCGTAAGCCGGGGCCACTCGCTCCTGCTGTCTCTTCTGTCTCTGATGCACCCCCAGCAACAAGGAGACAGGAAGGAGGTAGGTAGCAGTAAGCCACGCAGCAGGAGAACTCAGCAGCTGCAACCAACACGTGGGGACATATCAGGGGACCGACCTGCAACAGGAGACAGTTGGCAGCATCTCTTGCTTCCTCTTTTCTCTGCTCTCTCACCCTATAAACCATATACCCCAAACCCTAAATTCACAGACCCAAGACTTAAACCCTATACCCTAGACCCTAAACCCTTACTGTCAGAGAAACTCCCTTGCCGCCCAGCACCGCCAACAGCTCCCGCTCTACCCTGTTGCTCCTTAGCTGTAACGGTGGGGGGCCCCCCAGAGGCGAGGGGGCATCCTGAGTCCAAGGGGCCCCCTGTCCCCTTCTTTCACTACCCAGAGGAATCGAAAGCACACGGAGACAGTATCTGCTGACGACCTGGAGGAGGGACAGAGACAGAGACAGTTTGCCGCAACAGCTGTACAAGCAGCAGAAACTGTAGCAGCAGAAGCAGCCTATGCTGCTGTATACGCTCATGCTGCAACCAACACACAAACAACGCTGGCCTTACGTATTGCTGCAACGCTTCGGCAGTTGTCCTGGGGGGCGGCAGCACCTGTTGCTGCTGCTGCTGCTGCTGCTGTTGCTGTATCTGCTGCTGCAGAGCCACGGCGATGGCCTTCAGAGCGTCGCACTGAAGCTTTGCTGCAGTTGCGTCTGTTGCTGCTGTTGCTGCTGCAGTTGCAGCCGTTTCAACTGCACGGCGGCACTGGAGGAATGGAGACTCATGATGGCCGAAGCCAGCAGCAGATATCAGTGAAGTAGACCCCTGCAAGCCCCACAGAGACAAAGGTTTAGGGTTTAGGGTCTAGGGTCTAGGGTTTGGGTTAAACAGTCAGGGTCACCAGGAACAGCGGCTGCTCACCACTGAGTAGGCAAGGGACATAAGCTGCCGCAACGAGAATACCGGCTGCTGCAGCTGCTCCTGCTGCTGCTGTTGCTGCTGCTGGGTTGACAGGCTCTCAACGATCTGCCGCAGTGTCTCCGCATTAGCGGCTCGGCGCCAGAGGTCTCCACTTGTTCTCAAGACAGCGTCCACGTCTGCTGCTGCTGCTGCTGCTGCTGCTGCTGCTTCTCCTGCTGCGTTTGCTGCTGCTGCTTCGTCTGCTTGCGCTGCATTCACAGTTCCAGCAGCAGCAGCAGCACGCAGCAAGGTGTCTCGCAGCACCAGCAGCTCGTGGCTAAGGGCCCCTATGCACGTCCACCTATTGACAGAGGCCCGGAATGGAATATCAAGCATTGCTTCTTCAGCTTGAGCTGCTACCGTTGCTGCGGCAGCAGGTCCTGCTGCAGCAGGAGCTGCTGCTGTTGCTTCGGGTTCATAAGCACCTGCTGTTGCTGCTGTTGCAGATGCAGCTGCTGCGTCAGACCTAGTAGCTCCCGCTGCTGCTGGTCCAGTCCCTAGAATGCTGCAAGAAGCGGCTGCTAGCTGCTGGGACTTGAGATAGTCTACCAGCGACTTTGGATACACCTGCTGCTCCTGCTGCTGCTGTTGCTGTTGCTGCTGTTGCTGTTGCTGCTGCAGCACATAGAATGTCTGCAGCAGTCTCTGCACCGAAGTAAGCGGAAGCAGCAAATCGTCGCTACCTGACTTTGCTGCTTCCGCTGCTCCCGCTGCAAATGCATGTAGGAGAGTGCAACAGCTGACTGGGTCCAGTGTTGCTGCTGCTGCTGCCGAGTCATCCTGTGGATTCTGCTGCTGCTTCTGCTGTTGCGGGTGTTGCTGGTGCTGCATCAGCTGCAGAACTGCAGCAGCAATTCGTGAGGAAGTTACGTTAGCAGAATGCAGCAGAAAGCTGAGGGGCAGTGGGCCCCCCTTCTCTGATTGCTGCAGGAGGGCCCCCAGCACCTGCGCCAGCTGCCGCAGGTCGAGGTGGTCTGCGGAGGCCCGCAGCAGCAGCAAATGCTGCAGCAACAGGAAGCAGGAGCACAAACAGCTTACAGAAGCAGCAGCATTGAAGGAGGCAGCGTGAGGAGGAGAAGGCAACAAGGACAACAGCAGCAACAGCAACAGCAACTGCAGCAATTGCAGAAGCAGAACCAACAGCAGCAGCAGCAGCAATAGGAGAGACAGCAGGAGCAATAGCAGCAGCAATAGCAGCAGGAGCAACAGCACACAACAACCTACCATAATATCCTTAGGCAGAAACAGCTTAAGAAGGGACGCTGCTGCAATGAGGTTAGCAGCACCACGAGAAGATAACCCCCCAATGTCTGTGTACAACCGTTGCTGCTGCTGTTGCTGCTGCTGCTGCTGCCGGTGGTGCTGCTGCTGCTGCGGTGCGTTGTCGGCGGCCGCGTTCAGCCTCGCTGCAGCAGCACAGCGAAGAGACTGAGGGACACGCTGTAGACGAAGACAGCTCAGCAGAAGCAGCGCAAGGTCCTCAAGCGATGCCCCTGCAGCAGCAAACACAACAGCAGCAACCGTAACAAAAGCTGCTGCTGCAGCAGTCTAAGAATGCAGCAGCAGCAGGAGCAACAGCACTGCACCAGCAGGGGTGACAGCTGTAGACCCACAACAGCAGGAGCAGCAGCAACCGCAGCGGGGGCGAGAAAAGAAGCAGCATCTGCTGCAGCTAGAGCGACTGCCGCAGCAGCCGCAGCAGCAGTAGTGGATGCTTACTACCAACAACACTCTGCGCATGCGCAGCAAGTTGCTGCAGAGTCCCCGGGAGCAGCAGATGGACTTCTGCTGCAGCAGCAATGAACGTCGTGAGGTCTGTGGGGCCCCACAGGCTGAAGCACTCGGAGCAGCTCCTGTCGAGGGACTCTGCAACAGCAGCAACAGCAGCAGCAGCAGCAGCTATTAGTGCAACAACAGCAGCAATAGCTGCGGAAGGTAGAGCAGGAGCAACTGCAGCAGCAGTAGCAACAGCAGCAGCAGCACGAAATCCAGCAGCAGCAGCAACTGCAACAGCAGCGGCAAAAAACGCGACAGCTTAGTGGGTCCATCTGGCATTTAGTGTTTAGGGCTTAGGGTGTAGTATGGACCGAAAGCCTTTGTATCATCTACCCCAGCAGCAGCAAGCTCCTCTGCTGCTGCAGCAAGGTCTGTTGGTGCAGCAGTAGCAGAGCCCCGCAGCATCAGCACAACAGCAGCAACAACTCGCATGTCTCCTCGCGTCGCCTTCAAGACCTCCAGAGCAGACTTGAGTGGCATGGCAGCTAGCTGCAGCAGCCGCAGCAGCAGCAGCAGCAACAGTATGAATAGCAGCAGCAGCAGCATCATTGCGAAAACAAATTCGACTCAAATCCCCACTCGGGGTTGGCGCAGCAGCAGCAGCAACGAAGCAAAGAACATCGAGGGGAAGGGGAAGGAATTATCCTAGGGTTTAGGGTTTAGGGTTTAGGATGACCAGTGGTCACCTGGCACTGCACATGGGGTAGCACTTCTTGCAGCGCCTTATTCTCCGCCAACTCTTCTGCAGTGCTGCTGCTGCTGCTGCTGTTGCCGCTATTGTTCGCATGCTGCTCCCGCTGTCTAACACCAAAAGGAGCTGAAGCTGCTGCTGCTGCTGCTGATGCTGATTCCGCTGGAGAGGTGTAATCGCCCCGCGGTGCAGCAGCATCAGCAATTGCTGCTGCTGCTGCTGCAGTGCGTCTCCGGCGCCGAGCCTCGATGACACGACAGAAACGTAGAAGGTCCCTCTTGTCCATGTCTTTGGCCCCTGCAGCAGCAACATCAGCAGCAACAAGAATAGAAGCAGCAGCAAGAGCAGCAGCAACAACCTCAGCAGTGAAAAGCGGCCATGCATAGCTTAAACAAAAATGCAATGACGACAGCAACGGCAGCGGCACGAGTACCAGCAGCAGCAGCAGCAGCACCGGCATCAGGAGAGCCAACAGCGATAGCAGCAACAGCACGAACAACAACAGCAGCACCAGCAACAACAGCAGCACCAGCAACAACAGCAGCAGCAGCAACAACAACAGAATTCGCAGCATCAGCGCACGCTCGGAAATTGCAGCTAAAGCTCTGCAGTAGGCGGAAGAAGGGCAGTCCCTTGAGAGCAGCAGAAATACTGCAGCAGCACAAATCAAGACAAACAACAACTGGCATACTCTGCTGCTGCTGTTGCTGCTGGTGTCACAGCTGCTGTTGCTGCAGCTACTACTGCTTCTGCATTTCGCTTCTCTGCTTTGACTGGAACAGGGTCATTCTTGCTGCTGCAACTGCTGCTGCTGGTGATGATGATGCTTTTTCTACTCCTGCTGCTCGTGCAGCTACTACAACCACCACTGCTCTAACTGTTGCTGTTGTTGTTGCTGCTGCTGCTGCACTTGCCTTGTTCCTTGACAGGAAGGTCCTGGGGAAAGACGAAATCGGGGGGCAGGACGAGGCGAGAAGGCAGCACCTCCGTGCTTGCCTCTCTGGAGTGTACAGACACCCCCCTGGTGCCAAAGCAGCGCAAACAGCGGCCCACCCCGAGGGGCCCCCAGGCAGCAAAGACATCCAAAGGACTGCAGCAGGAAGACCAAGCAGAATTGGGGGGACCCCCTGATGTCCGACCGAATCCACCACGCAATCGAGAAGCATCTGCTGGTCTTGCTGCGGCTGGTGCTGCTACTGCTGCTGGTCTGATTGCTGCTGCTGCTGCTAGAGCTGCTGCTGCTGTTGCAGTTGGTGCTGTTACTCGCGCTGCAGCAGAAGATGGAGGGGTTCGGAGGCGCATCAGCAATTCTCCGCTGCAAGGCGACACTGCAGCCACAGCAGCAGCAGCAGCAGCAGCAGCAGCAGCAGCAGTAGTAGCCGTAGCAGGGCCTCCCCTCACGGCAGCCATGACGAGTACGTCTGCTCTCAAAGGCAGCAGCAGATGCTTGCTTCCTGAGGCCCCCCGGCCTTGTTGCTGGGGGCCCCCCTACCCTATATGCCTTTGTTGGGGCCCACAACGTCCCCTTTCACAGCTTTTTTCCCTTCTTATACTTCATCTAATTACAAAAAATTATTGTTTTGAATTCATAATATATTTTATTCAAACATGAATTCATAATATATTTGATTCAAACAAACTAAGCCCCGCTTATCTAAGGACCCGCGGTATCCATCAGGCGGCAGAGGGGCCCCCCGCCTCCCTAGTCGGCAGGGGGGCCCCCAGCAGAAGCGAAGAGGGTACAACGGTAATAAATCAGCCGCTGTTTAGACCGTTTTTTATTTGTTTTGATAATAATAACGGCAAGATAGCCCAGTGTCCCTGAAGGAGGCCTCCAGGGGCCCAGAGGGGGGCTGGTGGCGATCACTTTCTGTAGTGCATAGGCACTACACTGACCATAGGTTGCGAGAGCCTACGAGCAAGGTAGAGAGTGAATACCCTGAGATATTCGAGGTCTTGTGATCTTCCTTGCTGCAATACGGCAGTTCCGGGTCGAAGGTCCGGGGCCCCACGCGAATCAGTGTAAATGCACGAGCTGATGGTCTCCTGGACAAATTACACTAGAGGGGTCCATCTGGTTTTCCCTTTCACCATTTACATATTTGAAAATGCAATAAAATACTTTTCAACTCAACTTATCTATTCCGTTTGTGTAACGAAGCAAATAATTAACTCTTTCAAGGAAGTATCATGCGACCGGCCGAGGCAGATGTCGAGACAACGCAGCACGCGCTAGGCGGCAGGAAGGCCTGTCTCCATGTGCTCGACGAGAATTTGAAGTTTCTTTACTTGCCCGTTTAGCCTGCATTGTACAAAGATCTCCGCTTAGCGGTGTGCCTCTCGCGCATCCGACAGACCACTTGCAACCAATGGTCAGGACTGCGAAGCTCTTTCAATTAAGGTGCATTGATCACGCAGTTTCCAACTAGTTAGTATGCGCACACTATCCAACATTTGTCAGAGCACCTGAGACTTGTTGTAGTCTGCAGAGGAGATTTCGCGCAGCACAGTGAATGTGGTCGGTATTGACCAATACCCTAGTCTGAAGCTCGAATTACAGAAACGAAGGGGCCTAGAGAAACGCGAAGTAAATGAGAGAAGCATATTGAATGTGAGAAAAAGAAATACGCAAATTTAGATATCAGGTAAATGAAAGAAACAGATGACCATGAAATAAAGATATTCAACTAGGAGAAATAAAACATATTTATCTATGATATAAAGAAACGAATCACATTTGCATGTTTTACAATTGAAAAGATGTAGAGATGAAACAAAAATATTGAAGTACAAAAAAAACATTCACATTTAAATATGATACAATGGGAATAATCACATTTGCATATTGGAGCAATGAAAAGAGACTTGAATGTAAAATAAATGAAATAATCAGGTTTGCATACAAAATTAGTGCAACCAGCAGACTTCGGGAGCCCCGCCCATATCGTTGTGACGCTTCAAGAGCCGTACAGTAGGTGCTGCTTCGCCTTGAGGTGCTGCATGTCTGATGGAACAGCAGCTGAAACGATATATCTCGGGGCCCTAGGGCACCGGATGGTGCGGAAAAAGCTAGCGTGATAATCCTCGTGATGTGCAAGCATCGGAGGCCATCTCCTACTCGCTCTCCCCACCTGCTGCGGGTGTTGCTGACGCTGTTGCACTTGCCAACATCGCAGGCCAGCTCCCACTCGGTGTCCCCACAGGCTGCTGGTGTTGTTGACGCTGTTGCACTTGCCAGAATGACAGTGGCTGTTGTTCGTTTTGTTTGTAGCGCCTGCGTGCTTCCCGGGAGTGTTGGTGCTTCGATTTGTCTGGCTGCCTGCACGAGGTGTGGAGCGATGCATCGGAAGACAACAGCAGAGACAATTTAGGCCGTGCTGTAGTGACCAGGTATCGCTTCCATCGAATTCGTCCAACGTTCTCTGCTTTCATAAGCGTCCGTTACATCCATAGCAATACCAGTAAAGGGAGCATCACGAGCAGTGGGAGCCGCAGTACCTGAATGTCTGTTGTTGCACAAACCGAATCATGGGGAAGGCACCATCGCGTCATCACCCAAAAGTGTAAGTGCATCTTCAACGGCATTTCAGCAGCAGCTGTAGCACTAGTTGGAACGGCGCCAGCAGCAGCACGGGATCCCGCAGCAGTACCAGATGCAGGCGCCGCTAACTTAACAGTAGTTGCGGCAGCGCACACGCACCAGAAACGCACCAGCGGATAACACCAACGGCGGCACAACAAGCACCATGAGCAGCAGCAGCACCAGCGCCAGCGAAAGTAGCAGCAGCACAAGGACCAGCAATAATATTTTGTGTCTGTTCAGTTGCTAGAAAAGATGATGAAACAGAAAAGGAGAGAACAGGATCTGAAGCAAGTGAGCGGGT